CAAAGAACTAAACTCCAAAGGATTAGGGTAGAGTGCTGGTGCTGGTGCTTTCAACTTCACAGAAGTTTACTGTGATTCTGGCTTCTGGGGTTGGGGCTAAATTTTTAAGTCTACAACACTCTGGGTGTCTCTTGCTGGTTTGACCGCAGCTTCCTGATCCTAGACATCTCCCATGGTTGTCATTAGGATTTCAACACTGGAAGCCTCAAAATGAGACCAACCCACAGCTGGCTTGAATCCCAGGTTCAGTTGGCCCCTCCCTAAAATGGTGTCTGGTCAAGCACTCTTTCCAGAGGACAAGGCAGTTACCTGGATTGGAGTCACCCACCAGCTGTTGAAGTATCCATCACTCACTGCTCCATTCTCGCTGGAGACCCCTGGAATTACCTGCTTTCACTGTGTCACCAGAGATTCAATCTTCCTCTCATGCCACAGGTCTGTGAGCTGGAAAGTGATGATTATCTCTTCCTTGTCCTATATTGAGGTCTATCTCTTCACTTTCTCTGTGGGCTCCAATTTTCCCTTCAGATCTTTCCTGGGCCCCAGGGATCAACCTCCCTGTTTCTTCCCAAGTTATTTCCAGTGTCTGGATGTTGAATCTTGGAGACATTGATTTGTTGCTGCTTACCACTCCACTATCTTCCTGGAAGTCCTTCTGTAGGGATTTGCCAGTTCTGGAAGATTATGGAGTGTTTTCCAGATCTCAAATTAATTTTATAGGTGATAAAGGAGCACTTGCTCTGACCCCAGGTAGCCAGGCAATGTCAATTAAGACAAATTTTATAGCACTTCGAATCCACGGAAGAGACCAATGGGAGCACACCATCTACATCTCCATGTCTACATGCACAGGTGAATCCCTGGTGCAGTCTCTCATCACCCAAATGAAGAAAGTGCAGTGAATGTGGTATCTGTTTGTTCTCTGGAGACTGGGTTGGGGATGTTCCCTTAGAATCCCACTGGACAGTCACAGAAAGCAAGCATCCACTCACACTGACTTCAGGGTTTGAAATCACAGGTTTGGGACCTATCTACCTGAGATAGGTTGGCTGATTTTGGCTCTTTCCAAGTCATGAAAAACTTCTCGATTCAAATCTTCACTCCTAGGAAGTCATAGTGGGTACAGCAGGGGGCAATGCTTCATGTGAATGACTTATGGGCACATTAGTTCCTTTCTAAAGAGCAAATGAATGAAATTCCCATTGAAAATGGCTATGCATTGTGTGCTGGTGTGGTTCTTCATGCTGGAGATATAGGAAGGGAGACATAGACTGTGCCCTGGAGATGTTTGAGGTCTGGAAGTATCTGCACAGCAGTGACACCTGGGACCCTTGGAGCTCTAAGCAGACCCATCAAGACTTGACCAGAAAAACCAGCAAATGGTAGGATCCAGCCACACTATCTTAAGACATTTTTAGTTCACAAATTTGCATTTGGAAACTGTCATTTGGGATATTGATTCTCCATGGCAATTTCATGAAGTTCTAATCTGCTCTGCCCCGAATGTAGTAAACTCGAAGGACACCTTCCTCTGCCTTCTAATTAGTAAGGAGTCCCAGATATGCCCATATCTGAAGACCTTCCTAAGCCAAGTTGGAAAGGCCATCTCTGCCGGATGAGCTAAACTCTCCAACCCCCTCCCTCATGACCCACTTGGAATTCCTTCAAGATCAAGACCAAAGTTGCACAGTCAGGTAAGATATTGGCAGGATTTCATTTTCTGTTATTTGGCTGTCCTGGACCACACCACCTACCCCTCAGTCTACTACCTCTTTTCAGAGGAATCAGACATGGCTATGGTTGCAAGTTCTCTTCTCTGAATATTGAGAGCCATTGCAGTAGGACTAACAATGTCATGACTTCCTAGCAGGAAGAAAGTAACTCTTGAGCTACATCAGAATCGTACACCAATGAAAACAGACTGCATTGTACCAACTACCTTGACCCTGTACCATCCTTCCCATGCCATTGTTTAGTTTGCTTTTTTATTTTCTTTTTCCTCCTTTCCTTATAAGAATATTATGGTTTTCAGTGGCTGCTCACTGGGTTATAGTCATTATGAAATACATATATCTTGGCAGATGAATGAAGCTTATTTTCCTAGCAGGAGTGAGAGAAAAACTCAGCTAGTGGCTTTGTTTCAGCTGTGCTACATGCTACCAAAAAGTACAGGATGACTCTAGAGTGAATTAGGGAACCGCTCCAGCCCAAGGAAGCATTGGGTTTGGAGACCTAGAATCCTCCCTGGAGCTAAGCTCACAGTAGAAGGAAAGATGGTGGAGCAAGAGGGGTGGGGAGTTTTATAGGCAGGGAGGAGAGGAAGATACATGGGTTAGAGATCTGCCTAGCAGAGGCAGGATATGACAGGTACAAGTTAGAGCAAACAAAAACAAAATAAAACAAAAAAATCCTGTGAAAGACTGAGGGGCCAGTTACATTGGTGATTGGTAGAAAAATAAACAGGTATCTTTTCTTGAGAACTTCTCATCTATGCTGTTACATGGTGTAGTGGTTGATTGTGTCAACTTGAGACATTTAGAAGCTTAACTAAATGGGTTTATCAACTCTACATCCAAGGGTATAGAAGACTTACCCTAGGGTGGCTCATCACCTGCAGGTATAAAGGGGAAGGAGGAAGGATGAATGCATTCTATTCTTGGGAGAAGCTCCAGTCTTCGCCTTTGGTTTGGACGTGGTCTCCTGGCTTCCAGTGTAGACTCTTCAGCTTTTCGGCATAGACTCTTCAGCCTTCCAGCGTAGAGCCTTCAGCCTTCTATCGCAGACTCATCAGTCTGCTGGTGTGGACTTGCACAAGAGACTAGGGTGAACTCCAGACCTTGGATTGAATCCTTCGACCTCCAGTGTGTAGACACCCTCTGCACGCTTCCTCATCGGACTCTGTCGCTGACCATCGTAAGCCAATCTTGTTTCTTATACATCTGTATATCTTGTGTTATATCTGTTCTCTCTAGTAAAACCCTAATACACATGGAAACTGAGGTTCAAGAAGTTAGTGAAATAAATTAGATGGATAGTGGATGGGCATTTATTGTCCTTGTCCTCCAATAGTTAACCTAAGTGACATCTGTCAGTTGGTTCTCCACTAATGTGTTAATGAAGGGTGTATCCTATGGGTGTTTGACTCTGGTGTTCACCCTGAATGAGCTTTTCAAAGTCCTCACCTACAGCTCTGTAAAGTGTAACAACCCTTACTACCCATTTGGAATATTGTTTATCAAAGGAATAAAAATATGCTGATATATTTCTGTATGATTAGACTTGAACTCTAATATTGCTTTTCATTTATCATAATGTTCCATATCACAGGCATGCAGTTGGTTGAAACTTTTCTATACATAAGGGCCCTAATTACTGTTAAAAATTTCAACTTTCAATTTCAGGATTCCAGACAGATGCTGAGTGGGGTGTCACAGCTTGGATTCAAGTACAACTCAAATTTCTATTAAAGAATTAACATTATAGGCTTAAGCTAATCAAGGACACACTGATGCTTTACAGTTCAGCAAAGTTCTCGAAAAGGTCCTCTTCTTTGTGATGTACAAATCCACTCCTTTTTGGAAGCTCAGCTGTCACCTACTCTTAACAGAACAGACCTACTCCATCACCTACTCTGTATCTACCCTTTCAGAGGTGCCCTTTCTGCTGTGTTCTATAGCCTTTCTTCAATACAACCTGTCTCTCCTTTATGACCACAACTAGTCGGAACTCATTCATGGCAGTAATTATAGCATGATTAACTACCAGTGATTTGGACAAGAACTGTTAGATTCCTACCTTCATTCAGCAACATTTACTATGTGCCAGATAGAAAGGGTATGAAAGTGGACAGACAAGTACACTTCTGGGTATATACTTTCTAGATCAGTGGTGGTGAATCTATGGCACATGCTGCAGCAGGCACATACAGCCCTCTGTCAGCATGCAAGCCAAGTCGCTCCAGCCAAGGTTTGAAAAATTATCAGCATGCATACAATAGCAAACACCACATTAATTGTGCAAAAAAGCATGTCAAAGGCAGACTTTTATCTTTTAACAAAAAGCTGTTTTTGGGGCTGGGGATTTAACTCAGCGGCATAAGCACCTGCCTTGCAAGCAGGCAGTCGTGAGTTCGATCCCTGGTACCGATAAAAAGGAAAAAGACCAAAAAAAAGCTGTTTTTATCATTGAATGCTGTTGTATAAGACAAAAGATGTTAATGTAGGAGTTGTTTTTTCTAAAGTAGAACCTCAGTATTCACGTTTGAGTACAGTGTTGGCACTTTGTGATAAATGGGTTTTGGGGTGGTTTGGGTATTTGTTCTCTAAAAGGTTCATCATCTCTGCTCTAGATGATGGCTAGTTTGTCTGGTCTGCCATCCTCATCTAGCAGGGAGGACAGATGGACGGGGTTCCAGACAGATGCTGAGTGGGGTGTCACAGCTTGGGTTCAAGTGACAAATTAGTCAACAGCCCCATTTCATGGGCAGACACCATTCTTCATCTAAAAGGCAAGCCACATACATTAACTAATTGGCTTGTCATTCCAGACGCGGTCTCAGTAGTCATCCTTCAAACCACAACCTTCTTCTCTTAAATGTCAAGGACACCAAGGTCTGACCTGTCTTGTGCAGATGGCCAATGGCCCAAGTGTAGGGATCAAATGCTCTCATCATATAGATACACTGTGTGAGTCCCACTGGTCTAATCACAGGAATTCTATTAACAACTACTGAGAACCACTTAATTTTGGGACAAAAGAATAAAGTTCCCTGCTGTTTCTAAGGTGTCAGAAAACACAAACACATAAGCAACAACCATGCAGTGTAGCAAGTGCTTGAGAGAGGCCAGCAGACACTGACCTTGGGAAAAGACAAATCAGGGGCTTCATTCTGCTACAGAGGGCCTCACCTCTGCCAAGCTACTACAAACATTTAAATTGGAGCTCAGAAACTTCCACATGGCTTTTATGATAGCTTTTAAAGACAATTCAGAGCCAGAAAATTTTTGTTTTATAGCAAAGGATGCGGTTTATTAAGAACTTACTGGACAGAAGGGATACAGGCCCATTTTGGCCAGCAACAACACAGGATTCCCAGATTGAGAGACGAGAGAAAGGGGTTACATGCTACACTAGACACAGGTATGTATGTGGGCTTTGTCAAGAACTATTAATACATCAGAGGTCGGTTAAGAAACAGTCCAGGTATCATCAGTGTTTGGCACCAGATGCCCAACTGGCTGTCTTCAGGACTTCATGGGGTAGGGTTTGGAATGCAAGCTAGAATCACCCGGCAAGACGGAGGTTATCACCAAAATGCAAAGCTGAAAGATTCTAAGGTTCTTTTCCTTATATACACTGATACAATTATTTACAGAGTTCATTTTTAAATTGGACCTTATGCTAAAATATATTTTTCTTTCTTAAATTTATTTGCTAAATATTTTCAATGTTTCGATGACTTCTGGTTCTTATTTTCTTGGTATCCACGATGTCTCTATCCTGTTTGGGAAGAAAAACAACTCTTGAGTAATTAAAAAAAACAATTTTTGTGATCAACACTACTCTGCAAAACCCCAAATCCTTACCAGGTACTATGCCATCGTTACTCTTAAAAAATTAAATTTAAGGTTGGATATTAATTTTAGGATATACAACCTTAAACTTTTCTAATTTTTTATTTAGTTTCTTAAACTTAAGTTTCTTTTCAAGCAAAAGCTACTAAATAATGCAAAAAACCAACTGCTTTACCGATGCACACATTTTTTTAACCAATTGAAAATATCATTCAGAAAAAATGAACTTAATAATGATTGACACTTATGAATCTTAAAACACATTCCTGCAAAGAGGTTAGTCTGTGAATACTGATTGTGACCTGAGACTTCCTAAAGTATGTCCTAAGCAGGGTGCATCTCTTCCTGAACAGCTGATGATAGAAGCCCATCCACCTAGAAACTTAACTTTAAAGAAACAAGACAATCTTCTCTTTTCAGAATGGAGGTGCCACCAAACACCAACAAGAAAAATCCAATTAGAAATACCTAAGTATGAAGCAAGCATACCTTAGAAGAAAGGTTACAAAGTGACCATGGTTAGTAGGAAAAGGAAGAGAGAGAGAACAAGATGACAAATCAAAAAATACAGCTTAAGTTGAATGGAAAAGATCTTAAATTTGTTAATGCTATCAAATTCTATACTACACAGTGAGAGAAAAGCACTAAGCACAAAATCTGCAACACATATGATAACAAGGATAGATATACACGCTGAAAAGGGAAGACCTGCTCCTTTAATGGACTGGTTGGGGTAGATCCTACCATGTGTTGCTGCTGAACACACGGCAGGAGTATAGGCCACCTGAGCCATCTGTAGTCACTCTTTCAGGACTCTAGGGTGGCAGAGACCTTAAATGCGACCCTGAAAGTAGCTTTGGTCAGCATTTTTGCTACTATTCTAACACGTAATAAACAAATCTCCTGAGCCTTTTCATGCATTTAAGTTTTAGCAACAGCCCTGGCCTCCTCTAGTCTCTGACCATTCCTTCTTGTGGTCCTTCCTCAGCCTCAGTATCATCTATCACCTAGGAGAAGACATTTGTTTTTCTCATTGATGGCAGGTGGTATCCACCTCACCCTTAACCAGCTTTCTAGCCTCTGTCTGCTTCTTGCTGTTCACTGTTACAGATGTTCTTATCTGCTTCAGGGGAAAAATATCAAAGTTGTAAACTCTTGCATGGAAAAATTGAATACAAATGTCATATACAGCTGCAGAGTCTATGGACAGCCAGAGACAGAACACATGATGGATCCAGCTAAGTACCCAGCCCATCAGTGTGTGTTTGGAGTCTCCTAGGTACTGGTGGCTGCAGGAAAGAGATCTAAGAGCTTCTGACAGAACAGCTAGGTCTGCTTGGTACTGGTTGCTGTGTATTTAAAACCATCTATCTGAAAAGAAGATTGGTTTTTAATTCTTGGATTTCATTCTTATTCAGGCAGTATTCTTCAAACCATCAATCTATATAAGTGATCCTAAATTTTATTTAAAATTAGAACGTGAGGCATATATATTAACCACATGAAGCAGTTTGAGATCCTGGTGTTTCCCTGATCTCTGTGACCATGTCTTGTTACTGTCAGACGTCTTTGGCTTCCAACCAGCCTAATTTCTGGCACAGGCATGGACCTCATTCTGCTTCCCATCCTTTGGAACATTCCATCCATACCTCTTCTCACAAAGACTTCTTGCTACCAGTCAGCAAAAAGATCCTCCTGCTTAGTCCCCTGTTGACTATGGTATGTGTTGAGGGCATCTGGGAATCTTGACTGTCAGTTCCTGATTTGTCCTTGACACCATCAGTCTCAACAACTGGATCTGACAAAACTGTGGGGCCAAAGTGCCAGTTGCTACCTTTATTTCATTGGCTGGTGTCAGAATAGGGCAGATTTATGTTCAACATCCATATGCTAAGAACAATTACATAGCATTCACAAAAAGGTACTGTCTACCTGTCTTATTAAACTAAATCACATATTCCCCAGAACACTAATTGAACTTAATCATGCATTATGGATTATTCAAATTATAGATAAGTCATGAGCTAATAAATTTGATCTTATTTTAGTATCACACCGAGTTCATGAGCTTAGTCATTATTTGGTTAGGAAGAGTAAAATCACACATATACTTCCTACTGAGCAGAATTCAGAGTACAATTTGCCTTTAGGACCTCCAGCGTTTGTTTATTCTGGCTTTCCAAAGGAAGTCCTTTGATACCCAGACGTGGTCATCTTTTGCTTTATTATAGTTTGATGAACTGAAGACAGACTTGAGATGTAACCTGTAAGCTTCACAAAGGCTGCATCATAAGCAGAGAGATAGTGGTAGCAAAATAAATTCCAAGATCTTTCTAAATATCTTCAAGAACATGAAACCATTCATTGAAATAGAATTCCCAAAACTGGCATAAGAAAATACAGCTATCAGAATAAAATACAAGGCTTAGAATGACTCTTATTTTGTAATCTAGAACTGGCACTATGATGCTCTATATAGTTTTTCATTTGCCTTTGTTATAGTGGGTATAAATGCACCCAAACACTTTGTTTATTTTTGTAAGAACAGTGAAATACATACCTTCTTTGGATTTTCTGCACATCTCTTGGTACCTCGAGTTATTTGTTGTGCAGAGTCACTCTCTGAAGTATTTCCTTTTGGCTGAATTTTAGCTCTTCTGGATCTCAAACTCACAGTGTCTGGATTTTTGGTTACTTCTTTCTCCTGATTCTTCACAGGAATATCCATGCTTTGTTCTTTTCCATCCTTCTCTGCTGTCTGAAGCTGGGAATTCTTATTCCGTCTTCCAGCTCTCAAGCAGATCCTGTTTCCACTGACCTTGCCCTTAGATGTAGGTTTCCCAGCTTCATCATCTGGGTTCTGTTGCTCTGTCTCTTCAGAAGTCTTCATGGACTTCTTTTCATGTCTCTTTAATTTGGCCTTTTCTGATGTAGGAATTTCAAGTCTTTGCTGGTTTGCTTCAGTTTTATTTTGGTGTCTGGTGCGTAAGGACATCCCCTAAAGAAATGAAATGACATCCACAAAATTCCAAAAATGAGTAAAATATATCACCAAATTCAACAGGGAAAATATAATCAAACCTGAGTCACAGTTTACACTATTGAAAACTGTTCCATTAGATAGGCTAAATAAACCCTAGTCCTTTAATGATGATGGCTAACATGAAACAGAAGCTCTGCATTTCTGGAGTTTTGCCTGCTAGGATAATCACACAATCCTGTTCTTCCCCCCAACCTATTGAGACTACTGTCACTGTTAAAACACTAACATGCATTCTACTTGTACCCATCCCTGGCCTTGTAACAGTATAGTGAACAGCCTACCTTTTATCTGTTTAATTTCTTAAAGTGAAGATGAATATAAGTTATTCATTGTAATAACCACTCAAGGTGTTTGAAAGAGCCAATCATTATTTTGACTAGCTCTTTTACAGAATTAGTCTAATTCCTGTGTAAATCCCAGAAAGTTTTATCAGAACCTTTTAGCAAAGTTATTAATAGTATTCAAAAGAAACCCTTGAGAAAAGGATATCCCCTTATAATTGTGTATCAGATCCTGTACAAATTACTATATATAAAACAATGGTATACATCCAAGATGACACATAATAATCATGTAACATTTTCCATCACCTTATTTGGAGTGGTTGAGTCTTGTTCCTTTTTGATAGATTCCATACTGCTGTTCTGTTCTTCTACAAGTCTAATTTTGTTCATGACAGGTCTTGTGTGCTTTTTCACTACATTCAAGGGGTCAGGGGACTTGCATCTCTCCCTGGGAGTAGTCCTTTGTTTACTGTTCATGGGATTCTCCTTTATTGGTTCCTGTAGTGTCATCACAGAACACACACCCCTGGTTCCTATGCTGTTTCCAGATTTCTGCTTGGGGGCAAGTGATACGTTACTTACATTCTGTGATGCTACAGGAACTTTGGTGTCCACCACATCTTCTATGGATTTTTCTTTAGGGACCCTAAAAGCTCTTCTAAAAGTTTTCAGAGGTTTTACATTGTCAGATATTTGCTGTAAAGTGCTCTTCAGGTTATGAACATCATTTATTTGTTCTTCAATATGGTCTAGTGTTTGGCTTATTTCCTTAGGGCTAGGTAGGTTTTCCACTTTAGACTTTGCCTTAGATGCTCTTAGATATCTTCTGCTGCTTGTAATACTAATAGCTGTGCCCAGTGTCTGTTCTGAAGATTCCTTAAAAGTTTTGATGTCTTTGTCATCACCTTCTGGCATTTTGGAAATGTGGGAGGTGGCCCTTGACACTCGTGTTGGCTTCTCAAAAACCGAGAGTCCTTCTTTTACATTCACATTTCCAAGTCTTGTCCTGAGTTGCCTCTTTGTACTTGCTGGAACGTCCACTGGTTCTAATTGTGAATATTTGCAAAGCGTTTCTGTGGTTTTCTCATTTCTCACTGATTCCTCAGTGTCAGCTGATTTTTGAATTAGTTCTTTGGAATCAGCCATATCTTCTAGCTCTTGGGTCTTTCCTTTAAGACTCCCTCGCAGCCTCTTGGTGCCAGTTACATTTTCTGCTGGGTTCAGTTTTTGCTTGGCAGATTCTGTAAACTCTTTGATATTTTTACTACTGTTTGTGGGTTCGTTGTGTGTGTTCAAAGTCTCTACTGAGGATCCTGTTTGCTTTCTCTGTGCCGAGAGCTCTTCTGTGACATCTACCTTCCCAAATCTTGTTCTGGGTCGTCTCTTTGAGGTTTCTGAACAGTCCCCTGGTACTTGTGGAGATTTGCAGGGCATTTTTGTGGTTTTTTCACCTCCCACTGATTCCTCAGTGTGGCCTGATATTTGGATTAGTTCTCTGGAACCAGTCAAGTCTTGCAAGGGCTGAGCTTTTTCCTTGGCTGCCCTTGGCCATCTCCTGCTGCTACGTATGCCTATAGCATGCTCCATTGTTTGCTTTTCAGGTTCCTTCAAATGTTTAATGCCTTTGTCATCATCTTCCAGTACTTTAGAGGTGTAAGTAATGGTCCTTGATGTTCGTGTTGCCTTTTGCATTGCTGAAAAATCTTCCTTCACATTCACTTTCCTCAGTCTTGTACTGAGGCCTCTCTTTGTGTTTACTGGGGTTCTGACTGGCGCAGATGGTGGAGATTTGTAAGGCATTATTATGGCTTTTTCATCACTCATAGATTCTTCAGTGTGACCTGGCATTTGGAAAGACTCTTGCAATCCACCCATATCTTCTAGGGTTTGAGTCTTTTCCTTGGGTGCTCGCCGCAGCCTCTTGATGCCAGTTACATTTTCTGCTGGGTCCAGTTTTTGCTTGGCAGATTCTTTAAACTCTTTGATACTTTTACTACCGCTTGTGGGTTCTTTGTGTGTGTTCAAAGTCTCTACTGAGGATCCTGTTTGTTTTCTCTGTGCCGAGAGCTCTTCTGTCATATCTACTTTCCCAAACCTTGTCCTGGGTCGTCTCTTTGAGGTTTCTGAACTGTCCCCTGGTACTTGTGATTTGCAGGGCATTTTTGTGGTTTTTTCACCTCCCACTGATTCCTCAGTGTGGCCTGATATTTGGATTAGTTCTCTGGAACCAGTCAAGTCTTGCAAGGGCTGAGCTTTTTCCTTGGCTGCCCTTGGCCATCTCCTGCTGCTACGTATGCCTACAGCATGCTCCATTGTTTGCTTTTCAGGTTCCTTCAAATGTTTAATGCCTTTGTCATCATCTTCCAGTACTTTAGAGGTGTAAGTAATGGTCCTTGATGTTTGTGTTGCCTTTCGCATTGCTGAACAATCTTCCTTCATATTCACTTTCCTCAGTCTTGTACTGAGGCCTCTCTTCGTGTTTACTGGGGTTCTGACAGATGGTGGAGATTTGTAAGGCCTTGTTATGGCTTTTTCATCACTCATAGATTCTTCAGTATGACCTGGCATTTGGAAGAGCTCTTGTAATTCACCCAGATCTTCCAGGGTTTGAGTCTTTTCCTTGGGTGCTCGCCGCAGCCTCTTGGTGCCATTTTCATTTTCTGCTGGGTCTAGTTTTCGCTTGGCCGATTCCTTTAACACTTGATTATCTTCATCATCTATACCTTCTTTGTGTGCATGCATAGTTTCCCTCAATGTTTGTTCTCTCACCAATGAAAGCTCTGCTTTCACACCCACTTTTCCTATACTTGTTTTAGGACCTCTTTTTGAGGTTTTTAGAGTGTCCACTGGTGTCGACTGAGAGCTGTAGGGTGTTTTGACTGCATTCTCTGGGTGTTTGGCATTGCCTGGTGTTTGGAAGAGCTCTTGTAAGCCTGCCAAGTCTTCTAGAGGTTGGGCCTTTGGACATCTCTTAAGGCCAACTAAATTTTCTGTCAGGGCTAATTTTTGCTTTGAAGTTCCTGTAGATGCTCTGATACCTTTCTGTTCCTGAACTGGTACTAAAGGTATATGCATGGTTTTGACTGGAGACTGTGTTAGCTTTCCGAACGATGAGTGCTCTTCTTTCCCTAGACTTATCTTAGAATGTCTCTTTAAGGCTGCTGAAGTGTCCATTGGTGGTGATTGGGGAAATCTATAGGGCATTTTAGAGGTTTCATCTTCAGTCAGCAGGTTGCTAGAACAGTGGCCTGGTGTTTGGAAGAGCTCTTGCAAACCAGATAGATCTTCCAGAGGCTGGGCCTTAGCCTTACGTGTTCGTGGCTGTCTCCTAAGTCCAGTTAAATTTTCTGTTACTGGGTCCTTGGCATGACCAGGTGTTTGAAAGAGCTCTTGGAAGCCAGTAAGGTCTTCTAGAACATGGGCTTCCTCCTTAGGTGTTTGTGGCTGTATCTCAAAACCACTTAAATTTTCTCTAGGGTTCAGTTTCTGCTTTGGCATTTCTGTAGATGGTCTTATTCTTTGCTGTTCCTGAAATGGTACTGAAGGTGTGTGCATGGCTTGGCCTGGTGATTGCATTCCTCTCCTGAGTGACGATGGCTCTTTTTTTCCCTGACTTGTCTTAGAACTTCTCTTTGAGGTTGTTGGAGTATACATAGGGTCTGTTGGAGTGGAGGGCATTTTTGTAGTGTTATCAGTTATTATTGAGTCTTTGGCATAGTCTGGGGTTTGGAAGAGCTCTTGGAAGGCAGTAAGGTCTTCTAGAACCTGGGCCTTTAACTTAGGTGTTCTTGGCCACCTCCTGCTGCCAGATACATTTGCTGCTAGGTTCAGAGTCTGCTTTGCAGATTCCTTAAAAGCTTTGATGCCTTTATCATCATCATCTGCTGTGTTTCGTGTACATATGATTTGTTTTTCTTTCATATCCCTTTTCCCCCTGGGTGTGCTGGGCAGTCCTTTTTTCCTTCTGGGGGTGTTCACTGATTCTAATTGTGATATGCAAGGCGTTTTTGTAGTTTGTTCATCACTCACTGATTCCTCAATATGAGCTGGTGTTTGGAACAGCTCTTTGAAGCCAGTCAGGTCTTCTAGGGATTGAGAGTTTTTCTTAGATTCTCCTCTCAGCCTTTTGATGCCAGTAACACATTCTGCTGGGTCCATTTTCCGTTTTGTGGATTTCTTAAACGTTTCACATTGTTTATCATCTGTGGGCTCTTCATGTTTGTCTGCAATTTTCTCAGATATTTGTGTTAAATTTAATACTGCTAAGTGCTCTTTCACAATTTTACCCCCTAGACTTGTGGACTGTCTCACTACTCTTGTGGGAGTGCCTACTGATTCTGTTTGTACAGATATGCAGGGCACTTTTGTAGTTTTGCCAACACTTTTTGGGTCTTTGGCATGGTCTGGGGTTTGGAAGAGCTCCTGTAAACCAGCTAGATCTTCTATGACTGGGACTTCTTCCTTATATTTTCTTGACTGCCTCTTATTGCTTTTTGTGGCTGTAATCAGGGTCTGTTCCACAAAGTCTTTAAAAACCTTGTCAGCACCTTCTAGTACTTTTGATGTGTGCATGGCTTTCCCTGTTTGTGTGCACTTTCTCATAGCAGGCACCTCTTTCCTATCTTTTTCCAAACTTGTCTCAGGATGTCCCTTTGAGGTTGCTGGGGTGCTCTTTTTTGTAGTTTCGTCAGGAGTTGTTGGGTCGTTGGCATGACCAGGTGTTCGAAAGAGCTCTTGGAAACCAGTCAGGTCTTCTAGGACACAGGCTTTTTGCTTAGGTGTTTGTGGCTGTCTCTTAGGTCCATTTAAATTTTCTCTTGGGTTTAGTTTCTGCTTTGCAGTTCCAGTAGATGCTCTAATGCTTTTCTCTTCCTGAACTGATACTAGAGGTATGTGCAAGGCTTTGCCGGGTGACTGTGTTAGTATCTTGGGGGCTGAGAGCACTTCTTTCATGTCCACTGTCCCCACACTTGTCCTGGGATGTTTGTTTAAGGTTGATGATGTTCTGCGTAGCCCTGGATGTGGAGAAATGTAGGGCATTTTTGTGTTTTCATCAGTAGTCACTGGGTCCTTGGCATCACCTAGTGTTTGGAAGAGTTCTTGGAAGCCAGTCAGATTTTCTAGGAACTGAGTCTTTGCCTTAGTTGTTCTTTGCTGTCTCCTACCAGATTCATTTGTGACTGGGTTCAGAGAGTCCCCATAGCAGATGCTTTTGTCTCCATCATCTACTTTCACTGTAGGTGTATACATGGTTTTCTCTGACATTTGAGTTAGTTCTCTCACTACTGAGAGTTCTTTCACATCCACTTTCCCCAGATTTGTCTTATGACATCTCTTTGAAGATGAGGTATCTACTGATCCTGGTTGTGGAGATCTATAAAGCACTTCTGTAGTTTTCTCAGAAGTCACTAGATCCTCAGCATGACCTGATGTTTGCAAGAGCTCCTGGAAACCTGCCAGGTCTTCTTGGGGCTGGACTTTTGTCTTAGGTCTTTGCAGCCCTCTCTGATGTCCAACTAAATTTTCTGTCTGGTCTAGTTTCTGCTTTTGAGTTTCTGTAGATGTTCTGATGCCTTTTTCCTGAACTGGTATCAGAGGTGCGTGCATGGCTTTTCCTGGTGATTGTGTTAGTTTGTTGTGTGATGAGAGTCCTTCTTTCATGTCCACTTTCCCAATACTTATTTTAGAACGTGTCCTTGAGGTTGTTAGAGTGCCCACTGGTGCTGGCTGTGGAGACAGGAAGGGTGTTCTTGGGGTTTCTTCAGCAGTCACTTGGTTCTTGGAATGTCCTGGTGCTTGGAAGAGCTCCTGGAAACCAGCCAGGTCTTCTAGAGCCTGGACTTTTGTCTTAGGAGTTCGTACTGGTCTTTTAAGTTCAGATGAATTTTCTGTCAGGTCTAGTCTCTGCTTTGGAGTTTGCATAGATGCTCTGATGTGTTTCTTCTGAATTGTTACTGTAGGTGTGTGCATGGTTCTAACTGGTGACTGTGTTAGTTTTCTGGGTATGGAGAGCTCTTGTTTCTCATCCATTTCCCCCAGACTTATCTTAGAATGTCTTGTTGAAACAGCTGAAATATCAACTGGACCTGACTGTGAAGATCTATGCAGTATTTCAGGAGTTTCTTGTTCAGTTACTGAATCTTTGACATGGCTTGGTGTTTGGAAGAGCTCTTGGAGACCAGCCAGGTCTTCTACAGGCTGGGTCTTTGTCTTAGAAGTTCGTGCTGGTCTTTTCAGTTCAGCTGAATTTCCTGTCATGTCCAGTTTCTGTTTTGGAGTTCGCATAGATGCACTGATCACTTGTTTCTCCTCAACTGGTGCTGTAGGTGTGTGCATGGCTTTGTCTGGCGACTGTGTTAGTTTTCTGGGTGTTGAGTGCTCTCCTGTCCCATCTGTCTTCCTCAGACTTATCACAGAACGTCTCTTTGAGGTTACTGAAGTATCCATTGGTCCCAGCTGTGAAGAGCTAAGGGGCGTTTGGGGGGTTTCTTGTTCAGTCACTGAGTCCTTGGCGTGGCTTGGTGTTTGGAAGAGCTCTTGGAAACCAGCCAGGTCTTCTACAGGCTGGGTTTTTGTCTTAGAAGTTCGTGCTAGTCTTTTCAGTTCAGCTGACTTTCCTGTCATGTCCAGTTTCTGTTTTGGAGTTCGCATAGATGCTCTGATCACTTTTTTCTCCTCAACTGGTGCTGTAGGTGTGTGCATGGCTTTGTGTGACGACTGTGTTAGTTTTCTGGGTGTTGAGTGCTCTTCTTTGCCATCTGCCTTCCCCAGACTTATCATAGAACGTCTCTTTGAGGTTACTGAAGTATCCATTGGTCCCAGCTGTGAAGAGCTAAGGGATGTTTGGGGGGTTTCTTGTTCAGTCACTGAGTCCTTGGCATGGCTTGGTGTTTGGAAGAGCTCTTGGAAACCAGCCAGGTCTTCTACAGGCTGGGTCTTTGTCTTAGAAGTTCGTGCTGGTCTTTTCAGTTCAGCTGAATTTCCTGTCATGTCCAGTTTCTGTTTTGGAGTTCGCATAGATGCTCTGATCACTTTTTTCTCCTCAACTGGTGCGGTAGGTGTGTGCATGGCTTTGTGTGGCGACTGTGTTAATTTTCTGGGTGTTGAGTGTTCTTCTTTCCCATCTGTCTTCCCCAGACTTATCACAGAACGTCTCTTTGAGGTTACTGAAGTATCCATTGGTCCTGGCTGTGAAGATCTAAGGGATGTTTGGGGGGTTTCTTGTTCAGTCACTGAGTCCTTGGCATGGCTTGGTGTTTGGAAGAGCTCCTGGAAACCAGCCAGGTCTTCTACAGGCTGGGTCTTTGTCTTAGAAGTTTGTGCTGGTCTTTTCAGTTCAGCTGAATTTCCTGTCATGTCCAGTTTCTGTTTTGGAGTTCGCATAGATGCTCTAATCACTTTTTTCTCTTCAACTGGTGCCGTAGGTGTGTGCATGGCTTTGTCTGGTGACTGAGTTAGTTTCCTCAGTGTTGGGAGCTCCTCTTTCCCATCTCTTTTCTCCACTTTCATCTTAGAACATCTCTTTGAGGTTGCTGAAATATCTACTAGACCTGACTGTGAAGACCCATGGGGTGTTTTGGGGGTTTGTTGTTCAATCATTGAGTCCTTGACATGGCTTGGTGTTTGGAAGACTTCTTGGGAGCCAGTCAGGTTTTCTACGGACTGGGCCTTTGCCTTAGGTGTTCTTGGCAATCTCTTGCTGTCAGATGTGCTTGTTGCTAGGTCTGGTGTCTGCTGTGTAGGTTCTTTGAAAGCTTTGATGCCTTTGTCTTCATCTTCTGTTGCTTTTTGGGTATGTATCGCTTTGTCCTCTTTTACATCCACTTTACTGCGGGGTGTGTTGGGCAATGTTTTTCTTCTTCTTGGGGTATCCATTGCTGCTGTATGTGGCACACTGCAGGGCCCTTTAGTTTTGTATTCGCTTACAGACTCATCTATGCATTCTTGTGTTTGGAGTAACTCTTTGATGCCTACTAGGTCTTCCAGAGGTTGGGTATTTTTAGTTCTTGGCCACCTCTTCATTCCTGTTGTATATATTGCCGAGTCCAATTTCTGCTTTGGAGTTTCCTGAAACACTTCCATACTTTTATCATAATCTACTATGTGTATGTATTCCTCTGATATTTGTGAGACCTTCCTCCATGAAGGCACCTCCTCTTCTTTCACATCCATTTTTCCCAGAGTTGTCTTCAGCTGTCTCTTTCTGTTTGTTGGGGAGTCGACTGGTTTTGGTTGTGAAGATTTGCAGGGTATTATGGTAACTGTCCCTGCCTCATTTGTTGATTCCTTGGCACAATCTGTTTTTTGTAAAGGTATTTGGGTATCCAATATGTTTTGTGTGGATTTTTCTCTTTTTATTCTCTTGAGACCTGTCTTGTCACCTGTGGATTCATGCTTCTTTCCTCCACTTTTTGATGTCCTTTCCCTACTTCTTGATCTCCTTGAAGTTATCTTTCCAGAATTTTCATTTGATTCCACATTTTCCTTAAATGTTTCTAAGGATATTTCACTATCCTTCATCCCTCTCTCTTTTTCCTTTTCTCGGGGTGTCTTCCTCAGGCTTTTTTCTGTGATGGTCTCAATAATGCCTGCTTCTGTTTCTTCACTTTTACTTTCTGTAGGTTGCATCTGCATTTTTGTGAACTCCACAGATCTTCTTAACTTATTTGTACTACAGACTGTCTTCAGAGGCTCTGTTACAGAATCTGGAGTTTTAATCTCAAAATTAGTAATTTTATAGATATTCCTAGTAGTTTTTACTATCTTTTCATCTTCTTTTATACACTTCTTTCTTAACACAGGGCTTGCAAAATATTTATCAGATGATTCTTTTGCTGCATTCTGAGCACTACAGTACACATTTTCTCCTGTAAGAAATAATACATAAAGTAAATGTATTAACATCCACTAGGTTGTAACTTAGTTATTTATTATCATGAAATACAATCTAAAAACCAGTATTTGGAGTCTTATTTACTTTACTAAGAATATAATGTTACTAATGTAGCCATAAATCAGTCTTATTTATGAGCCATTTGTTAAGTATAATGTTTTTGGTGACAGAATATGTCTAAGGTACTTTAGTTGCCGAGACAAAATATCTGATACCCATAGATAAAGGAGAGGTTTATTGTAGTTCAGTGTGTAGAGGTTTCAGTTCATAGTTGGCTGGCTGCAAGATAGGGTAGCATGCCAGAGAGATAACACAGAAGAGAAATAGTTTATAGCAGGCTAAAGGCAGCACAAAGAGCAAGTAGCAAGTCACAAATGACCACAGCAGCCCTCTTTCTATCTCATATTCTGTACCTAGGGATGGTCTTCCCATTATTCACTCCCAGAACTATGCCAAGCCATATCACTTAGTCATGACACATCCTGGAACTCAGCATCACACACTTAATCCCAGCATCACACATCTAATTCAGCCAGCTCTAAAAAGCCTCAATAAGAGGCTTTGAGGAGACATCTAGACACAAATTATAACAGAGTACAGTCATCATTAAGTATTGTTAAGACCTACAATGATTAAAGAAAAAAAATTCCTAAGAATGTCTTTGTAAGGTATCATACCCTGTGCCCTTCCTTTGAATAGAGACATTGTTTTCCTCAAATATAAGAAACAAACAAATCTATTTTTTACTGTGTATGCTCAGGCTCCATATTACACAGGAAATATTTACTTTTTAACTATAGCAAGCATGTGCATTGTAAAAGCTGTTCCTTCTATGACTAGAACACAGTGACCAACACCACAAGACAGTACAATAAACTATCTCTCACCTCACACTCATCTTGGACCTTGCTTCCATTTGTAAGATTAGGGACAATAATGAGACAATACACAAATTAGTATGTATTTCTTTTGTAATTTGCAATAATTGAATTTGAGTGATTTATAATGCAAGTATAAGACAAATTTACTTTTCTGTTATATCATCATTACTTACAGGAAAGGAAAAATATCATTTGGAATTATTAACTGACCATGCATGTAAATGAATATAAAGCAGTTCACACGCTGATAAGAATACCTGCTTAAATAACAGACAAGAGAAGACAGAAATGGCATTTCTCAGGAATGTCTATTATGGAAAAATAATATCATACAATATTGGATGTAAAGTAATAATATGATATATAAATTCCTACTCAAAAATGTATCAGTACCAGAAAATAAATAAACCAACCTAAATTTATGGAAGGGATGGGCAGAGATTCTTCTTCTAAACTAATTACTTTAGACTTTTTTCCAGGCAAATTCTCTGAATTGGAGAGCATGGTAGAACATGTGCTCATCGTTTGTGGCTTCTCCTTCACTGGAGTTTTAAACATTTCAGTTAGCCCTGATAAAAGGAAAATATTTGAAAAATATTACTTATATTTGTAGCTATCCCAGACATCACATATAACAAACTGCTGATACAAATGATAGGAAATAAACCCAGATAAATCCCTACATTTCCTGCTACCTAACATCTCATAAAAAGTGATTTTATAAAAAATACACTTTTTTTTTAAAAAGAAAAGAATGCAAAGAAGAAGTGTATAAGACTTCTCTTCTACTCTATCTTACTGAAAAGGAAGTCAAACAAAGTTAGTTTATATCTGTGGCCTTGTGAACTAGTTCTAAACATAAATTTTGCCAGAACAGAAACTGGTCATGGAGCCTTGTCATCAAGGCATTCCCTGCAAGTACCCAGGACCTGAGGGCACTCATGCCTTCTTCTAAAAGTCCTGGGCTCCTTGGTTCTTGAGTTTATATGCAAATGACATGTTCCTGTATTTTAGAAAATGATAGAATATGGCTCAGTGTTGTCAAGTAATATACTATATCTTTAAACATTCTTTAAACATTCAATATATGTACTTAAAAATCATCTATTCCATTTTAACATCAAGCAAGCAAAACTAACAGAATCTCAAAAAAATAAAAATATATTACTTCATGTGGAAAATCTAACTTGCTAAAAAATACATGTTCACCCATTTTCCTTCTCAAGCAGGCACCAGTGGTTAAAAATGTTCTTAATTTGGCATAACTATGTGAGAAACCTGCTCTGAGGCCCCCACCCAAATCAGTCAATTCATTTAAAGACTCCCTTTACCTTCTAGCCTTATGGAAAATACTGAGTTTAGTTTCCAGCAGTTCCTGATATTTTCAAATGGAAGTTACTCACATGAAGCAAGAAGAAAAATTACTTACTCCAGGTAAATGTCCTAACGGAAGAAATATTTGAGCTAATACCCTGTCCCAGTACAAGTATTTAAAATCTTACTTTATCTTAAAGTATTTTTGAGGGTTTCTAACATTCTGTAATGTATGTATTTATACATTCACACGTCTCATAACTTATAAGCATATACATACACATCTACTTTTTCATTTGTTCTGTTCTTTTTAAAGATAAATGAAGCAAACCAAACATGACTCTTATTAGAAAGTACTTTTCATATATTATACTGAGAACTTTAGTAATGCTTCCAACTTCTACTTGGCCAGGAAATAAGCTTCTCCCTACTGAGTTGAAATCCTACCACTTTCCCTAACAGAACAGTGTAAACCACCGTGTATATCATGTAACATGAAACCTAGATTCTGGTTCTTATCATGATTGTAACCTCAAAACAAGTGAGGTTACACTTTTGTTTAGTGGAAATGAACTAGAAACATTTGCATAATGACTTATGGTTTAAAAAAAAAATCTTCATTTCATAGTGCTTTCTTTGACGAAATAATCAAATCACCTAGAAAGTAATATTGAAGCACAAAAAATGCAACTGATTCATGCACCTCTAGAACCACTAGTACAAAGAAAGCAATTATAAAAAGCACGTGGTACTCTACTTTAAAACACTTTCTAGTTTTCTGTATCTACACTGTTCTCCAGAAAAGCACATATTTGACGTTTTCATAACTTCTGTTCACAGGATACAATCCACAGAAATCTGTGATTGTATCATCAACTAGTTTGCCCTTCATGAACACTATGACCCCAGAAAGCTGCCTCCATTACTATATGTAATTGTACTCACAACAGACAGACAAAGGCAAACAAACACCAAAAACACAAATAGAATTATGACTGACAGATGCTCAGGCTGTTTTTACCTGAGAGATCTTCATTATAGTCCATTTTCTGGTTCAAAACGAAGTTGTTCAGCATTCTATAGGGCCGAGGAGGTACATTTACTTTTTCAATCTGTGCTTTCCTTATTACTATGGTACAAGGAGAATTTGCATGACCTGTGCTAAACTGATTGTGAACACTGTCCGAAGGCTTCTACAGAAAAAAATGAGAGATAAAACATCAAAGCATAAACAGACATTTAAAGCAAACTTAATACCAGTGTGTATACACAAGCAATTTTTATTGCAACTGTGTACCTTTGGAGTATTAGGTTTTCTTTGTCTTCTGTGCATCTGTCTTGAAGGGGCATGCTTCACAACCTTTGTTTGCATTTGTTTTACACCAAGTTTTACCACATCTGCCCATGATTTTGCAACTGTCAAAGAAAAAACAGCATAACTTTTCAAAAATAGCATTAATGAGAAAGCTAACCTTAAAATACATTAGCCAGTACACACTCACCAATTAGATTGGCTTCAGAAGCACCACTCCTTCTTTTGGAAGAAATCATTTGTAAAATGTCATGCTGACTTCGACTAATGGATGCTCTCTTTGAAGGCAAGTGGCCACTCTTCCTCCCTGCTTTCTTAGGAATGTCTGGCTCATGTGGAGATTTCCCATCAGCAGAAGCAGTGGAGGCCCTGTGTGACCTTCGCCTTTGATCATTCGTCCTTGGGGGAGTTACTCTGGGACTAGGAGCTACCTCATCTAAGCATGCATTCTGTGCTTTCACTTCCAAACAGATTTCCGAAGGTTCTTCTTTTTCTGATGCCTGAGGCTGCTCCTGACAAGACAGAAATGCTAATGAGAAATCTTGCCAAGGATATAACAGCTCTTAATGCCTATTAAAAATCTATTCAAAGAATCTCAGCTGTTTAAATCTTGAAATAATGAATGTTCAAATCACTGTTTCAAAGTTAAGATAGAGGTTAAATTTTAAGGTAGAGGTTAACTCGCTAAAGAAAAGAGAAAGGAAGAAAAAGCAGTCAAGTATGAAATGAACTATCTGAGAGGGAAAGATGCAGAAAACATCTTGTCCCATGAGATAAGAAGGGAGCTCTGACCAACACTAGCTACTGTCATCCAACTCTGCATCTGCATGGAAGGAGCTGCTCACTTTCTTCAAACAAGGTAAAGCAGAAGTTGCCGGTGTCTCCCCAGCCCTCTTGGTACTAACAGAAAAAGCCTGTGAAATCTCTGTCATGAAGGTGAGTTATGTGGCCATATATTTCCAAGGACTGAAAAACAAGGGAGGGCAATGAACTAATAAATGATTAAAAGATTTAAAAAGCTGATTGCGCAAAAGAGATTTTTATCATCAAGGATTTTCCTTATCAGTTAAATACCTTCTTATACCCTTATCATACTAAAAGAAAAGAAAAATGATTCTGCAGTTTTATGTGGCAGTGTATCCAGATCTGACCAGTCATTTTTAGTGTAACCCACGGAGGTTCTGAGGCCCTATAAGCAAGCTGTATGTGTTGTGGTATCTTGCACTAGCATGAAAGGTCCCAGGCAGTCTATCTACCCCATGTTCAGCCACCTTAGAGCCATAGCTGGGAGCTCAGATGTTTCTTTCTAGCACTCATATACACTATTATTTTAGTTTTAAAAAGTTATTTATTAGAAAAATAAAGGTCTTAATTCTACTGTAATTGTACTTTTTAGTACTTTGGAAGGAACATGTACCAGCTTCATGAGCCAGTAGGTACGAATCTCAAGTTTACCTTGATGACTTTTTTTAGGACAGTTGGAGTATGAGTTCCAAGAGACTTCCTCTTGATTGGTGTTTCTCCTCTTTTGAGAGGTGTATTAGGAGGCAAGTTTTCATCAAATAATTCAGGTCTTAGGTGACCACCAAAGGACACGCGCCTTCTCTTCAAAGACACCTCCTCATTTTTACCTAAAGTAAGGAATACAAACATAAAACGAGCAATGCAAAAACCATACCAAGACTTGAATTCTGTCAAACTAGTACTAATAATTTATTGAAATTTGACACCTTTGTTCTTTTGTAATATTGATAAACCCAAAACTGGCATGGGACATCTTGAGAGATCTCAGAGACACCACTCAGAGACACCACTAAGACATGCAGTTCTATCTGGACTAGATAGATTGCCTTCAAATACTGAAAAATTACACCTGGAAGTAGTGTAAGCAAAGGATCAGTCTGTAGCAGCAGTAGGCAATATGGATCAATGGGACACAATGGAGACATGCTTTTAGTGGTGACAAGAAAGTACTTTCTAAAACACATACCTGGGTTTGATACAGACCTGCCTAGCAAGTAGAATGTATGAGCTATGAAAATTTCTCTGCACAATGGTGTTGATCATTTTGTGACCTAGCCCCCATCATACAACTTGCTGAACCACCAATCAACATAAATCCTTGGGCCAAGTGGGAATTCCTGGATATGAAACTCAATGGAACACTCTGATGACAAGCACAGGTGACATTTATAGTCAGTCATATTTCCTCTACACGCACCATCACAGGCCATCTGCAGAAACTGGGACCTGGTATGAAGAGGACTGCATCCCAATGCCTGAAAACCTTTCCTTTCTATAGTCTAACCCTGAAGTGTACAGGAAGAAGAACAGGTCTCCCATACCCACAGTAATGGTCATGTTTCTGCTGCTCATTTTGTGCAAGTGGGTTATCAGTTTCCCTGTCTGCAACACGCCCATAAATAATAAATTATTTATGGACACTCCTACTGCAATAGCCGCTCAGTGCTAATGTCTATGAAGCATGTAGAACTTAACGGCATAGAGCTTCCAAGTCTCGCCCAGTGATATATAAAAAAGTACTTAGTAGGTTCTAAGAAAAGAGTGGAGTACAAATACGTGATGGCTAGCAATATGTTCAATGATACTCCAGAGATTTTCAGTGATTTACTCTAAACAACCAAAGCTTTATGGTACATTCTGGCTCAGAATTAAACCACAAACATAAATGATTATTTTTCTTCCTGTTTTGTGATAAATAGAAAGGAGGGTCAAATGTTTAAGATGACCTCCCACATCATGCTTAGCTCACAACCTGTACCTCTTCTATTGCTCCTTGCTATAATTTTCTGGGTCTTTAACATTCATCTCTCAGCTGAAACATGAACATGTCTCTTATACTCTAAATGTTAAGCAAACTTTTTACCACAAAGCTAATCATCATTGACTGAAACAAGGTCTCTTACCTACATATAAAGTAGATTTTAATCTTTTAGGGAAAATAGATTTATACTTAAAACTTACTAATGGAATCACCAAAGTTGCCAAAATTAACTGAACTAAGACCAGGTAGCCCAGAGCAAATCTGTCCAGGTGTCATGCCTACTTTCTCAGGCTTGTTGAGGGAATCATTCTGAAATTTTACTGCAACCTGAGCAAGGTACTGAGTTATAGAAGGCTGATGTTGAATTTCTCTGTGCAACATTTTCACACTGATGGGATTACTCCTCCTCTTTTTAGAAGAGATTCCCTGGTTTACTGTCAGGGTCACCAGCATCCTCAACTTGATTTGGTGTTTGATTTCTAGTCAAAAGCTTCCTAGGAGTAACTTTTTTTATCAAGTGCCTTGTGGCCTTCCCTCTTACCCAGATTTGCAAGTTCTTGTCTGTCAGTAGCATGCAGGTCTTCACTCTTACGTTTCTGCGAAGATCTTTGTGGGGAATGTTGAACAGGTGTGTGTACTTGAGTTACCTGAGAGAAAGAAGTGCTACAACGTACAGCTTCTTTGGGAGTCGGAATAGGTTCTGGATCGCTTTTGTTCTCCTCAGCCTGATTCATTCCTGGTGCAGGTGAAGAAGCACCATTAATGTGGGTACTTCTACTGGACTTGCGTCTTGCTTTACTTGACACCAATGGCTGAGCCTCCTTCTGTGAACCATCACTACTCTCTTCTTTTCCTGCTGTGTGAGCAGTGAGTGCTCCTGATTTTCTACGATACTGTAGAACACTGTGTCTTTGTGATTTTATACTAAACTCGTCCTTCATTGACTGATACAACTTCTTAAAAGGAGATTCATTTTTGCCATTGTCAAGAACCTGTGTAGTGGTAAAAGGATTCTGTTCTCCATGGCAGTCCCCTAAAGTTACCCTGGACTTTTCGTTAAAATCCCCAGTGGTGGGATCTCTTGCATTCTTGCTACCATGTCTTGAATCTTCTGAAGAAGGAGACCTGAGTGATTCCTGGGCAGCACTGTTCTTTGAGCCATCTGAGGTAGTACTGTCCTGTTTGAGTTCCTTGACATGCACTGGAGACTTTGCTGAGGCATTTCCTTTAGTGATGCTGGAATGAGCTTTGGAATTTGGATCTTTCTCATCTTCACAACAAATTACAAAATAAGAAACGGAAAGTTAAACATTTTTCTCAGTGATTAACATTTGTGAAACTCAGTATCTTAATTGTTTCAAACTGCTTTACAACCTAAATTTTCATTTAGTCTGAAAATTACATAATGCTTAAAGTTTGTAAGTCTTACAGTAATAGTTATTTCACTCCCAAATAAATAATAAATCACAGTATATCCTCTAATAACTAGTGATGAGAAAATATATGCTATCAAACTACTTGAATTAAATTTACAGCTGAACAGTGGTACAAGCAACTGCCTGGTAAGTGCAAGGTTGTGAGTTCAGTTCCCGGTACCAAAAAAACCCAAATAATTAAAAAATTTAAAAAATAACTTTACAACTGAAAGGGTAATTTATGTATACATAGACTCTGTCTTAAACAGAGTACCTCACCAATCAACAGGGAAAGTTAACTGAGTTCTGCCATATTTGACATGTTAAATGCTAGTGTCTTTTATTCTGGAAGAGGGCATTTCACACTTGCGCCTCTTTTGTCCCTTGTCATTGTGATGGTGATCTGATCCAGAGGATCCCAGAACAGAGCCCAACCATTACAAACCAGGGTCAGCAGAGAAGCTTGCTCTTGAGGCACGCCGTGCAGGTTTCTGTAAATTAGGAAAATATGAACAGGAATTTAAGGGCCTTCTTAAATGCTAGTGATCCTAACGATGAAAATAATCTTCATATTCATTATCCTCTTTGCAAAATGGTTCCTACATGACATTTACAGACTTTAAGACATAAAGTCATTTGGGATTTAATGGTCAGGACACAAGCACATCTTAGCGGACTTCAAAAAAAGTACAGTCATAGAAAAACAAATATCAGGCTTAATATACCTTAATCAGAGAGAGCTATTATTACTTTCTTGAAATTATGTACCTCCCACCATTACATGAAGAATTAAAGCTAAATATCATCTAACCTGTTAACCTACCATAGGAAAAACTACTGACATAATCATTAGTTTAATCAGAAATGGACCCAGGACCTGTTGATGAATTGAGGCTCCATCTAGCATCCGTGTCCTCCTGGCTGGCAGACAGAAGCAGCATATCCATATGTGCCTGCAAACCAGACCCAGCACTCCTGCCTGGCCCTCATCTATGCTTCTCTGTATGGGACTTTTTGGAGGGAGGAGCTAACAAATAACATATAAAAGTTTGATGCTCCAAAGGAGGAAGTATATCACTTGGATACCAAAGGAAAGCTATTACCAAAATCAAAGAATTTTACTTTTTCATTTAATTCATTTCAAATTTATTGGTATTTAAGATATTATTTCTAAACTTATCCATATGAAAAATGAGCATTTATTTACCATTTGAAGCAGACCAAGAGTCTTATGACTAAATAAAACTTAAAATATGTATCATACAATCATCTTTTTCTGTGATCACATAGCCATAAAATCCCTGTCAAATTACTGAAACAGTTTCTACAGACTCAACTTTAGTGCACTATATTACAGATCAATAACAAGACAGACAATTCATAGACCAGTGAGTGATACAGGACTAACCCAGTTCTGTAATTAAACAGAGACCAAACTTCTCCTTATTCCCTTACACCCACTAACAAACTAAATGATGTCTAGTGTGTGGGAAAATTCATTTGCACCACAGGAGCTGATGAGTATCAGGCTCAACATTACAGTTGCTCCTCTGTAAGAAGTCATATTTATCATGATACACTTTGAAATGAAGCATCTATGGCTAATTGTAGATGTACATAAAGTCTCCCAAGCTAAGGAATTCACAATAGTTCATATGAGACTAGCTTGAGTGATTTTCCTAAGAAGTAGAAAAGATGAAAATTCTTAGTACTTATCCTAAACCTACTATATCTCACTAAATTTCCTAGAATTGCATTCTAATAAGCTATGTCATTGGCATACCTGTTCTATGCTAATATAATCAGTAATACGATTTTCTCATGGGCCATGCACAAGAACCCAGTTCCATTTTCATCCATCAAAACTGGAAAGAATCGTTGGTACTTAAAATTTTCACTGTGTGATTATTCTAGACACACAAAGATGGATGTGACAAGTGGGAGGCCAAATAAATCATGAGATAATATAGTTCCCAAATTTTATGACCATGTGTTAAAATTGTCCTAACCATAGGATTCTAAAATCAGACATACTGTAAGAGACTTTGGGGACAAAAGTACAAGCCCAATTTAGTACTCATTGTGAAAAACAAAGAAGAAATGTTATTTTAAATTATTGTATTATGTCTAAGCTTAACTTGTTTTCCACACCTTAATCATATTTTTCTACTATACCAAGGAAGGCGTCTTCTTTTACCAGTGACTTACAGTAAGAAACCATTTGTCAAAGTACATAAAAATGATTTTCTATCATCAAAAAAAGAACCAGAGCCCAAATCTGAATTATTTTCCCTCACCTGTTCACGTATTTTTTCTGGAAGTTCAGGTGACTTGCTTCTATTCTGATAACTTTCATTTTCATACCTGTAGTACATGAAATGAGGACAGGGATTCAGATTAAGGATTTGTGGCTCGTGGCTAAAGTCTGGATATTAGGTATATCTAAGGAAAAAACTTCAGCCTTTGTTTGAGTATTATCTCATAGACAGAAACTAAAAACTTGTTGGGGATCTTTAATCATCTCAGTTGATTTCTATTTGAACAATATTTCATTTGTGGGTAATCATTCTGGTCTCCATCCAATACCAATTTCCTACTTAAAAGTCTATACTATAAAAATGTGCTCAAAATTATTTATAGAGACAGGGATATGTTAAAATATTATAAAAGTCAATCCATCAAGAAGATATTCCAATTAAAAACAAGTCATCCAACAAAAGTTTCCAAAAGACAATCTCAACTATAAGAATTATGAAAAGTTGAGATTAAGAGAGTATAAACATTTGTGCTATGCAAGCATAAATTTAAAAAACTTAGCTATAGCTGGCTATTTAATTCAGCAGCATAAGCATCTGACTGGCAAATGCGAGGTTGCAAATTCAGTCCCTAATACCAAAAAAAAAAAAAAAATATATATATATATATACACACACACATATATAAAAAATTTAGCTATATTTAGTATCTAAAGAAAATATTACTACTAAAGTATTACTAAAGATAGGAGTACACGTTTAAATGACAAAAAGTTCTATATATAGAATTCTAATGACACAAAGTTCTATGTAAACTTAGGATTATTTCCAGGAGGATATAATTCTAAATTTGTATGCCAGAGTACAGCCTCAAAATGTATAAAGAAAAACTAGTAAGAACTAAAAGAGGGAGACTAACAAGCAGGAGAATAATAACTAAAGAAGATCTGAGTTTAAGGGATATACAGATTGTACAATGCATTACTCATAGCATGTACAATGTTTTCAAATACATAGATTAGTAAAAAATTCACAATATCTGATCAGAAAGTGTTGACATATTTCAAAAGCTGCAAATCACTCCAATATAGCAACATGAGGAAGACAAGGAGGAAGGGCATCCTCTGCACTCAGGAAGAATCTCAAGCACAAATTGAAAGCCACAGAGAGAATGCAAAGACAAACTTCAGTGAAGAAGAAGGAGGTAGATGGTCTCTAAGACTGGACTCACAGTCAAGAATGACTAAACTGTATACAATCTTGTACATTTTTATGTATACGAAGGCACCCAACATGCTATGATCTCATAGACTAAGAGCAACAATCGGAAACAAACATGCAAAATATTACTTCAATCACTAGATTTCTAAAGATAGACTTCTACATTTTATAACTACCACAGTGGCTTTCTTGATGAGAAAGTAATAATTATAAACATCATAAAAAAATTTCTGGAAACTTCCCTTATGGTATGGGTGTTGTGTCTGTCAACATAACAGAATAGTACAGCTCACAATGGTGGAGGTTGGAACTCTAAGGCATCCAATGGGACTGGCTTCCTCTGCTGGCCCATTCATATTACTTTCCCTTTGTATACTGTTTCCCCTTATCTCTGTCCTAATCTCATTAAAGTGACACCAGTAGAAGGATTAGGGCCCACTCTGATGGTCTCTGAGGAACCTAATTGTTCTTTTAGATGTCTCTCTCACACACACAACCTAAATTACTAGGGATTATGAATTCAAAATACAAATTTTTGGAGAGCACAATTCAGTCCTTAACAGGTAGTTATCAATCAAGAGGGCATTCAGATCATGTTAAATTGACCTGTACACCTGGTTTTGTAACTTTGTGGATATATTTTGCTAAAAAATAGAAACTAAAATCCATATAGTTTCTGAACATTCACAAGAAAACAACAGCCTCTTTTAGGCCCAGCTCACCTTTCTTCCACCTAGTTATGTACTCTGAATCCTTAAATTCTATCACACTTGAGCCCCTCTGTCACTTCTAGATCCATTTATTTTTAGATGAGCAGTGTTGAAAGTGAAAGCTTGAAACACTTTGATGATCAACATTAAAAAGGATTACAACACTAGTTTATGGTTAATTAGAACACCTACTTATTATTAGCACAATTAGTTTTTACCTACCTGAAAGATCGATCAATTATAGTTATTATATCCCCATGTCTTAGTGGTATAGGTGCATCAACAGCAGACCCATTTACTTGTGTTGGATTTGTGGTACTGAAATTATGTAGTACTGCCTACATGTAGGAAGAACAGGAAAATGTGTAACTAATAAAATAGACAAAAAGTGAATCAAAACATTTTAAAATTCAACATTCCCAAACCACTTACCTCCTGCTTACTGATTTCAATTTTGCAATGTTGTTTTGACACTACAGGAAGCTGGATACGTATATCACATTCGGTTGCCCTTAATACAAAAGAATTAAGATTTTTGCTTGTTTTTTGCAACTTCTTAAAAATTACCTTAGTTTTTAAAAATCAAATAGAATTTGACTAATAAGCTTCATGTGTAAATATAATGACACAAGGAATAAAATGGTCCATGCAAATAATCTGTGCTTTGCCAACAGTTTTTACAAGCATTGCATAAAAAGCTATTTGAGTATCAAAAAAATACCAGAAAATACCAGAATACAGGTTAAATCACCTGTTACATAAACAGGTGTTCTTGGAAGATGCAAATAAATACTCTCAATTTGGGAGAATAACAATTTTTAACACTGTGCTTTTACAAAAAATTTGTAGGTTTATTTGTTTGAATAGTTACATAAGTTTAAAAATTTAATGCAAAGTGTAATATTTCATGTTAGTACCTTTCTGTATGTACCTCCATTTCTTATGCAAAAACATTACATTAGGACCCATGTCACAGTATTATTCAAACAATGAAATGAGTTTTACATGTCACTCATGTTCTCACCATGTCACTATATGTGAGATTTGCATTACTGTTTCAAGACTTTGCTATATTAACTGACAGATTCAAGTATGGTAGCATTAAAAATACTAGTCTGGGAGGCACCAACACGGCAGCAGAGAAAGAGCCTCTTGGAGAGTCACTGTCTAGAATATAGCAACATGAGGAAGACAAGGAGGAAGGGCATCCTCTGCACTCAGGAAGAATCTCAAGCACAAATTGAAAGCCACAGAGAGAATGCAAAGACAAACTTCAGTGAAGAAGAAGGAGGTAGATGGTCTCTAAGACTGGACTCACAGCATGAGAGGAGTGCTTAAAACCTGTGGACACAGTAACTACTGGCGACCCCTCAGGCCTCTACAGAGAAACACAGCAGCGGGTGTGAAAGACTGCACTGGCAGACAGTCAGTGCTGAGGCTTCAGTCCTCCATGCTAGACAGCAACTGGCTGTGAGCCATTTTAGACAGACCAGCTGAACTTAGGAGCTGCTGTCAGCTCCATCCAGCAGGCTGCAGGCCAAATGAGTCTGCTCTCCGCCAGAAAGTGCAGGCTTGCTGAGACAGATTGGCACGAACAGGGACTGTGTCACTACACATTGTCCCAGTGATAGCAGAAACAAACCCAGAAGTAGACTTTTTTCTCTCATTTGTTTTTGGTTCTGGTGGTTTTGCTTCTTGTTTACATTCTTTTCTTCTTTACTGTTTGATCTTGTTTTTATATGAATATAAACATGGTAAGGTTATAGCCTCTTTGTGGTATGGTTCGGTTTTGTTCTTTTTATCTTCCTTCTCTCTTTCCCTTGTCTTCTGTACCAGTTTCCCAAACTTAGCATGATCCCCCTTTGTCCTCCAACTTTACTTCTAATCTCTTCCTCTTCTTACACGTCTCTATTTTTTCCCTAATCCATTTTACATTTTAACTCCAGAGAACAAAACTGACATACTAAGAATCTGTATACTGCATACAATTTACTGGTTTGTTTTAGGTTTTATTATATAATCACAAATTTAGTTCATATCGCTAAAAGTGGCAAATTAATGGTTACTTCAGCTTGTCATATTTTAGGCTGCATTTGATGCAATTGTTGCCACTATAGCCAAAAGTAACAGAATTGCTCTAAACAGCTCTTCTTCCTAGTATCCTATGACTTAGACTGACCAAGAGTCACAGAAACTGCTGTGGCACAGTGCCAAAGAACCAGCGAATGAGCCAAACAAGTAGCAACTTCTAATCTCCAACAAACTGAAGAGATTGGATCTTCCAACAGGTTCAAAACCCAAAAACCAGCTACACCTGGAAGATACCTCGGAAAAGTAGTCATTAGCTAAGGGTCCTAAATGCTAGCAATAAAGCAACCCATTATAGGCAAATCACAAGCATCACCCAGGAATTAACCTAAAAAAAGAAAAGAAAAGAAAAAAAAAAAAGAAAAGAAAAAGACACTTAAACAAGATGCAACTCCTGACATCCAGTTCACCAAAGGCAAACTGAGAGGGCAACGAGGTGGGGCAATCCAAAAGCCTCCCACCTGGCCTCTCTGAGGTGGTAACAAAGCAAGTAAGTCTGCAAAAAAACTCAAATCAGAAATAACTGTCCACATAATTGCATATGGTGTCCACAATAAAGACCATGCTTTGTGATGCTAGAGCAAATATAGACAAAAAAAAGATGGGCTTAAAAAAACTATGTAAACCATGAATGCTGAGCATAGAAATGAAATGGAATCAGTAAGGCAGATTCAAGAAGATATTCAGGAGAATAAAAATTCCACTGAAAGTATTCACAGCAGGTTAGGTCAATGTGAGGACAGCATCTCAGATACAAAAGACAGGCTTGCAGTTAGTGATCATGAAAAGAAAGATTTCTCAAAAGAGAAAAGACCAGAAGATATCAATCCAGCAGATGCTAAATGAAGGAAAGAAGAACAACTTAAGATTGACTGGAGTCAATGAAAACATAGGAGTTAGCACAAATGATCTAAAAACATGTTCACAAAGATCATGGCAGAAAACCTCCCTTCAAGAGAAAAAGAATTTGACATGCAGATAATTGAGGCATGTGGAACTCTTAATTAGTCATGATAAAAAAACAAAACAAAAAAAACTTCAGCCAGGTATATCATACATTGAGGCATGTGGAACTCTAATTAGCCATGATCAAGAAACAAAACTTCTGCCAGGCATATCATAGTCCTAGTCAAGATTCCAGAAATTCAACACAAAAATAAGACGTTAAAAGCCGTAAAGGAAAAGAAACAAATCACCTATAAAGGAAAGCTCATCAGAATCACAGATGACTTCTCCACAAGAACTCTGAAGTCAAGGAGAGCTTGTAGTGAACTATTCCAAGTTCTTAAAGGAAAACAACTTTCAACCAGATTGATAATCCCCACAAAACTCTTTCAAAACTGATGCAAAAATAAGATACTTTCATGACAAAAAACATTTGAGGATATTTATAATCACCAAAGCAAAATGTTTGGAAGTACATTCTAAAAAGAGATAACAAGAACTACAACTCCATGAACCTCAGGTGAAGGAATCTACCAGGTAAGACAAACCAACAGAGGGAGGGAAAAAAATAAGAGGGGGAACTAACAATAGGAAAAAAACGTAACAAGGGTAAATCAATACATATCAGTTATAATCATCAATGTTAATGGTCTCAATTCACCAATTAAATAACACAGACTGGCAGAAAGCATCAAGAAGATCCAATGATATGTTGCATATAAAAACACATTACAAAAGAAATTTATAGACTAAAAGTCAAAGGATTGAAAACAACACTCCATGCAGGAGAAATTCAGAAAAAAGCTACAATATCTATCCTATTTGAAAAGAAAGTGAATTTTAAGTCAAGACTGATTAAGAGAGATAAAGAAATTTACTACATTCTTGTAAAGGGAACAATCCAAGAAAAAAAGAGATAACAATGATAAATACATATGCAACAAACACGTGTACCCAGCTATACAAACCAAATACTAACAGGCATGAAAAATCAAACAAGCCCTAATACAACTGTATTGGGGGACTGCAATGCCCTAGTGTCACAAAAAGATAGATCAACTAGACAAAAAAAAAAAAAAAAAAAATTGACAATGAATTATTAGAACTAAACAAATGGGCTTAGTATATGTCTACAGAGTGCTCTACTACACAACCTTAGAATACACATTCTTGTCAGCTGCACACAGGATATTCTCCAAAATAGAACACTACTAGCTCATAGAACTTGCACAAGTAAATGTAAAGGAGATGAAATTATCCCGTGCATATTATCAGAGCACTGTGCAATGAAACTGAAATCAATGGCAAAAGAAATCACAAGAACTTCGTAAACACATGGATATTAAATAGCTCCCCTCTGAACAACCAATGGGTCACAACAGAAACTAAAGAAGATACTTTATAAAAAAAAAAGTAAAGACTCCAATTCATGCAATTAGGAATGAAAAGGGTGAAATCACAACAAACCCTGCAAAAATCTAGAACATCTTCTATACTTCCTTTGAAAGTTTGTATTCTAGTAAGATGGAAGATATGGAAGAAACGTACAGATTCCTAGAGACATATGAATTACCAAAAGTGAATCAAGAAGATACAAAAATCCTAAATAAACCAATAGCAACCAATGAAATTAAAAGATGTAATTAAGGGTAACCCACTTCCCAGGCCCTTCTGTCCCTGTCAGACAGCAGCTTTCTTTCTCTCAATTAATTCTTTCTACTCTTAACCTCTATTGTTCCTAGAATTCTTTCCTCAATTTTAGAGAACATGAACTCTGCATTTTGGACATAAAGCAGTTTGGGAGTTTCTTTTTTCTATATCGCAATCATTTTTATATGAATATTTTTGGGTTAGGGAACAAATCATCTGCCTTTTCACTATTCCATATGGGAAAATTCACCTTGATATACAGGTGCTTTGGGTTATAAGCATGTTTCTGGAATCCATTATGCTTGCAAACCAAGGTTTTTTAATGTAATATATTCCTTTGCCGTTGTATTTTTTCTTTTTGTTTTTTGCAGCCAGAGTTTGATATGTAATGCAGGTGTGTCTTAAATCCACTATATAACGTAAGCCCTACCTCAAATTCAGTGATCTTCCAGGGCTAAGATTGCAGGTATGCACCACCATGCCTGGTTTACTTTTGTAATAATTAAAGTAAGAAAACAACAGATTTCTTTGACAGATAAGAAACTGTATGCTGTTATTTATGAAAACATTTTTTTTTTTAACCAGGCATGGTGGTGCATGCCTATGATCTCAGCACTCGAGAGGCTGAGGCAGGAGGATTGCTGCGAGTTTCAGACCAGATTGGGCTACAAAATGAACTCAATGCCAGCCTGAACTGCATAGTAGGACCCTGTCTCAGAAAGAAAAAAAAAAAATCTTTTTTTTTTTTTTTACAGTCACTATTAATATTTTGCCTTTAATGCCTGGCTCCTGCTTGTTATTTGGTGGAGAGAAAGTGTGGGGGCATCAGGCATCAAACTCAGGACCTCATGCTTGCCAAGCAGACACTGACTGCACCACAGCTAAATCCATGACCTTCCTGCTTTGTAACATAGCTATAAAAATGAAGCGTAAGTCAAGGATATAGCTCAGAGGCATAGCGATGCCCGGTACCAAAAACCTATCAACAAAGAAAAGCCAGGGTCCTGACACATTCACTGCTGAATTCTATAAGGAATTTAGAGAAGACCTAACACCACTACTTCTCAATCTCTTTAATGAAACTGAAAGAAAAGCAACACTCCCAAATTCATTCCTGGAAGTAGGCATTACCCTGATACCAAAATTGGAGAAGGACTCAACTAAGAAAGAAAATTACAGGCCAGTTTCTGTAATGAACACAGACGCAAAAATCCGCAATAAGATACTGGCAAACAACATGGCAAATCATCAAGATTATATTCTATGACTAAGTGGCATTTATCCCAGGCATGCAGGAACGGTTCAGCATATGTAAACTGGTAAATATAAAACACCATATTAACAGAGCTAAGAACAAAAATCATATGATCATCTCAGTAAATGCAGAAAAAAACTTTTGACAAAGTCCAGCACCCATTCATGATAAAAACCCTGCAGAAAATTAGAATAAATGGTCTTACCGCAATTTGATAAAAGGCTTCTATCACAAAACAACCAACATCATATTAAATGGACAAAAACTGAAAGCTCTCTCTCTAAAATCAGCAACAAGACAACAGTGTCCACTGTCTCCACTCATATTCAACATAGTGTTGGAAACTTTAACCACAAGGGACAAGAGAAAGAAATAAAAGGAATAATGATAAGAAAGGAAGAAGTTAAATAATCATTATTTGCAGATAACATGATACTCCACATAGAAGACCTCAACTGTTAAGATTTAATAAGCAAACTAAGTAGTAAATTCAGCACTCAAATTACAATGTCAGTACTCAAAAACCAATAGCCTTCTTTTACACAAACAACAACTCACTGAAAGAGAAATCAGGGAAACAACATATTTCACAATAGCGTCCAAAAAAATGAAATACCTAGGAATTAATCTAATAAAGGATGTAAATGACCTCTATAGAAGGAAACTACAATACCCTGAAAAAAGAGATTAAAGAGAATTATCAGAAAACGGAAAGCAATCCCTTGCTCTTGGATAGGAAGAACCAAAATAGTGAAAATGGTAATATTTCCAAAACCGTTATACAGATTTAATGCAATTCAGAGCAAAATTCCAATAGCATATCTCACAGAATTAGCGAAAACAATCCTTAAATTCATTTGGAACCAGAAAAGTCCTAGAATAGCAAAGGCAATTCTGAGCAACAAAGGCAAGACAGCCTGCATTCACAATCCCTGACTTGAAATTACATTATAAAGCTGCTGTGATAAAAAGTGTGATACTGGCAAAAAAAAAAAAAAAGACGTGGAGGTCAACGGAACAGACTATAAGATGCAGAAATAACTCCAGACATACTAAACCATCTTATCTTTGATAAAAGTGCCAAACACATTCACTAGAAAAAAGACAGACTCTTTATTTAACACAGGTGCTGGAAAAACTGGCTCTGTACACTTGGAGGATTAAAACTGAACCTGTATCTTTCACCATGTATTAAACTAAATTAGAAACAGATCAAATATCTAAATATTAAATATCAAATATCTAAATATCTGCAGGAAGATAAAATAGGTAAAACTCTCAAAGACACTGGTGTAGGCAGACTTTAAGAATGAAACCCTACTCATATAAGAAGTATCACAAAGAATCAACAAATAGGATCTCATCTTACTAAAAAGCTTTTACACAGTAAGAGAAACTACTAATGGAGTGAACAGACAACCCACAATGAAGGAAAAAATGTTTGCCACTGTTACTCAGACAAAGGATTATTACTGAAAACATATAAAGAACTCAAATCAGACCTCCCAAATTTAAAGGCCCACAAATGAGCATCTGAGATGAATACACTTCTCAAATGAAGATACAAACAAATATATAAAAAAAAATGTTCAGCATCACTGGTCATTTGAGAGATGCAAATTAAAACAACACTGAGAGTCTACTTCACCCTGGAAAGAATGGCTATTATCAAAAAATCAACCAATAGCTCAGTGGCATAAGCACCTGCCTCGCATGCGAGAGGTCATGAGTTCAATCCCCGGTTCAGCAAAAAAAAAAAAAAAAAAAAAAAAAAGAACTCAACCAATAACAAATGCTGCAGGGCTGTAGGGAAAGAGCCCTCCAATGGTGGTGGGAGTTGTAGACTGGAACAACCTGTATGCAGATCAATGTGGCGATTCCTTAAAAAAACTAGAATTGGAGGTCCCATTTGACCTAGCTGATCCTCTGCTGGGCATCTTCCCAGAAACAATAAAAACACCATACCACAGCAACATATGTACATCCATGTTTATAACAGCACAATTTGTAATAGAAAGATCTTGGAAACAACCCAAATGTCCATTAAGTGAGGAATGGATAAAAAAGATGTGGTATTTTTATACAATGGAGTACTACTCAGTCATATAGAAGGATAAACTCAAAGCTTTTGTAGGTAAATGTATGCAATTAGAGACCAAATTCATGAGTGAAATAAATCAGACTCAAATGTGTAAGCACTGTATTGTCTCCCTGGTGTAAGAAATTGAAACTATATATATTTAGATATATATAAATTTATATATAAAAGGTAAGTATACTACTAGTTTCTCTTTGTTTATTGAAAAGTTTGTGCTAAGATTGTTTGCACACTTAAATCGTGATGTCTTGTAGTTTTGAGTAACTAATTCAGTGATAACAATATGCAATGCATTAACCAGTTACCCTCTAATCATCTTGTTTTGAATTTTTTTCTTTAAAATAAAAGAAAAAGTACTAACCCGCAAGTAATAAAAAAAAAAAAAAATTCTACTTCTATTTCTGCAGAAAACTACCACCATGGAAAAGCACTGAGAAGAGGATTCTTAAACCCACCTACAAATGAATAGCCACAAGAGTTAACTGGTATTAGTCTCTGAAACTGCTGTTTCATCCTGTAATTTCAAAAGTTTGTATATGCTCTATGATTGAGTCTATTCTTCATATGAATCTCCAGAATCTTAATATATCTCTTCCTACTCTTATCACGTGTTCAAACTCATATAAATTGGTTTTGAAATAAACTCTGACAAAAAATAATGCAAAGCTGTATAATAACCAAAATAACTACTATTTGAAATTCGAATGCTTTTCTTTCGAAAATAAAGAAAGCTATGGAAAGCATTAACTTTTTTAACCACAAGGAGGGAATTTCAGTTTTAGGCAGCAGAACACTCCAGCAAAGTCAGACTGATTAGAATTAGGTTTTGCTTAGCAGGATAATCACTACAAATGGTATTTCTTAACCTCAACACTGCTTGCATTCTGGACCAGAGAATTCACTGTCAGGCTATCCTCTGCACTGCTGAATACCTTGCCACACCTCTGCCCTCTGCTGGTGAAATAAGTGGCATATACTTCTCCCATAGTGAGGTGGAAAAATGTCCCCCGGATCATACCAAATGCCTCCCGGGGGATAAAATGGTGCTCCTATGAAAACCACTTAGTTATTTCCTGATTCCAATCCAAATCTGCAGGCTTCCTTTCCACTGGACACCAGCCAATGTTATTTACTAATCACCACTCATGCATCAGGTATCACACCAGACCCGAGTACATAATTATTAACAAGACAGCCCTTGCCCTTGGAACTTAGTCTAACAGGAGATAGAAACCAAACCAAACCACACCAAAAAAAAACTAATCATCACTGTGATAAACTTTCATTACAGGCTTGTTTTCAGCTAAGTGTATGGCTGAACAGATACCTGAAACAGAGAAGCTATTCAAGTACAAGAGTAAGGAGTGCAATACAGCCATAGAATTAACTTTGAAACTTTGCAAAATATCAACAAAAACAAGGACTTGCAAAAGTCTTGGGATGGAAGAATGGTGAGGAACGGAGTTGGGAGACAGGGTCAGGCCAGAATGGGGGCTAGAGGTTAGATCACAGGGAGGGGTGCCTTGATCACCGGTCCACAGTGACACCATAAGGAAATGAGGTGGGTGCTGTTAGCAATCAGGCCTGTCATACCAGGAAGAGGGTTATTATGTCATCCGAAAGGAAAGCTGGAGAAAAGATCTTAAAGCATAGCAAGAGGACTTTCCCTCCCATTTCATTTTTCCAAAAAGAGTAGGAAAGAGCCAAGTGCATGCCTCTTTCCTTCATTCTCAAGTGTCCCAGAAGCCAGCGCATGCCCACTAGGGAGAAACTTAAGCGCATATGTAATCTTTTAAAGAGGGCTGGAGGTGAATCAGGTTCAAGAATCACCTAAAATTTTTGTTTGGTTAAAAAACAAAACAACCAACAGGTAAAGCCATCACATCACACAAGTACAAATACAATTTTGAAACTTTCATTTAGTGATAACTACGTCAAGTAGCTGATGTGTACAAGTATCCAGGCAATAGGGACAAGAGCCTTCAAAGCCGATGCGTGGGCTATCACACGCGACTAAGTCTTTCGGTTCTACAGCGTCTCGAGTGCGGGCTCACCTTCCAAACAAGCAGGTGCTAAGGGTCAGCGGAAAGGGGATGCCATCCAAGCCGTTCCTCTTGATGGTAACAAGGCGTGCCGGGGGATCCATTTTCTAAACTAGGTGTTACTCTACTCCAGGTTGGAAGAAAGCTTTCAATTACAGAGGCAAAATCACAAGCACCTTTTCCACTGTGCGGGGGGAGAGGTATCACTCTGAGGGCAAAGGAGCTAAGATAATTTTCAGTGACCAACCGGATTCGCAGGTGGAGTTCCCGGATCCCGCCGCCCTGGTCTAGGCTTTAACCGAACTACGGGCACCTTGGCGAGACAGCGCAGCACCACAAGCCGCCCCCACAACCCCGAAGTCCCGCAGCCAGAATGCCGCCCCTGGGGTCCGCCCTGCCCGAGTCCCTCGAGAACACCAGGCCGGCCTGGCCCCCTGCCCGACCCCGCGCCCCAGTCTGGATTCCTAGGCCCGGAACCCGGCAGCTCTCGTTCCGGGTGCCTGGGCCCAGCTCACCTGGTCAAGTCCGAGTTCACCACTGCCAGTGCTGCCTGGGGGTCAAAGGGGCCCCGCGGCGTCCAGCCCGCGGGCTGCCCTCGCTCCGCCCCGACCCACAGACCTGTGCCCCGCTGTCGCTCCAGTAGTCCCGTTACCCCCAACCGCGTTGCCCGCGGAGGCCGCTCTACTCCAAGGCCGTTCGAGTGCCCGCCCAATTCAAAGCAATACAGCAGTTCAAATTCTGGCGCTAAGCGCTACGATTGGACGATAAGGCACGGTGGGGGACCAATGGGAAGGGCAAAGGAGAAGTAGGTGGAGCCTAAGGGAAGAAGCAGCCTGCCGGGCGGGAGAGGATAGGCGGGAATTCGAGGTGGTCTGGCGCTTTAAACTAGTGCGGGGGGGGGGGGGGGAGTTGGGTACATTCTGAGCAGGACGTGGAAAAAAGACTAAAAACAATCTATTCTCACCACTGAAACAACTTTTTTCTTTCATTATTTTAAGGACCATATATTATCATTCCTTTATGTTAAGGATCATATATTATCAAGCAACACCATATATTATCATTGCTAGAAGATTTAAATTTTTAAAAAATTACCCTCCCCCAGTTTCCTTAAATCACCAAACAACCAATTATCTTAATTTTGTGTCTTTTCTGGTTACACACGAATTGTTCTCTTTTTCATAAATACATGAGAGAGATCACGGCACACACATTCAGTGTATGTTCTCTGCTGAATGAATACAGAAGCAATTCCATTTTGCACACGTTCCCCCTTTACTTTCTGTTCCACGGGGCAGAGTATTCACTACTATTGCTACATAGTTAGGTCACAGTGCTTGGCTGTTAGACAAAAATTGCCAATAAAAGTACCTCGTGCATGACAAGGAGAATGAACCCCAAAATAATTCCTGTACAGGAATACATCCTGAGCCCTCCTGTTTGGTGAGGGGTGGAGTGGCTAGGGGTGGGGCGGTTCCTTGGTTCTGGTGGGATGAAGTGAATGGAACCCAAACATGACTTTGGTGACCCTTCCCGGGCACCTCCTGCTCCCTCCGGTAGATCTTGGCTTCCTGGAACAGAAGCAGGAATCTCAGAGGTGGTAGGAACACTTGAAGAACTCTGGAATCTTTCCAAACCTGCATAAAGCCAAAAACCATGTAACTAATGGACAGATATTTTTCACTCTCATTCTCTGGAGAGTGGGTGAAATCTGCCAAAAGAATAAGCAACTAGGAGATCCCAGTTTCAGATTTGCAAAAATGTGAAACAATGCTGCTCTTTTCTCTAGTTTGGTTGGTTTTGGGATAATAGAATTTTCTTTAAATTAAATTCTTGTGTAAACATGAAACGAGTTCCCCATTATAAAATAAATGAGGATTTTATAAACTCCTCAATTTTAATTTCAAATACAGTTAAGTATAACTAGATATAAACCACATTAATTTAGAAGAATGTAAAGGGACCTTGAAACAAAATTTTAAGCCTCTCTTGTCTAAGGTAGCAATACTGAAAGTTACTGCCCATGGGGACAAAAAGGGCAGTGACTGCTCAAGACAACAGGGTCTAAATTGGATGGAGCAAGGCTATGTCAACAAATGAAATGCAGGAATACTATAAACCTTTTTGAGGAGTATAGTGTCCATCTTCTCCCTCATTAACAATCAAACAAAGCTCACCTCTGAACAAGCCCATAAAATACTGCTTTTGTCACTCCAATTAAAGGATCATTTCAGTGACAGTTGTTCTGTCCTTGGAGGCAGCCTAATTAGAAATAAAAGCTGCTGGATGTCTACTCACTAAACTTAGCACCTATGACAGAATATATGACAGAGAGTAGGGAATTAAAGAAATGATTCAAGAAATGGCCAGAATAATAAAACTTAGACTTGTGGGAGTGAACAGGAAATTAAGGCATAGTAGGTTGGCTGGGGAAGCAGGCATGACCTGTTAATTGCAAAATTCAAGAATAGTTTTGATATATGTGTTCTCAAGAACTTCTTGAGAGAACTCCAGCAGTTTTGGATAGAACTGTTTAGATCTGATATTCTGAGGAATGTAAGATTCAAAAAGAACAGTATTCATTGAACTATGTATCTGTGATACATGTTCTTTTACAATAGTCCACATTCACACTGAAGAGTGTACTTCTTTTCCTACTCTTATTTTGCCCAAACTTGCCCTTTCTTTTCCTAACTTTAATAAATGTAAAACTATGCTACTTTTTGCACTTGTGCTGACCATTTTTTTTTCATGACAAAAACAATCAAGAAACTACCTCTAGAATGAGACCTCAGCACCCCAAACCTGGTATCAGAAGCGTTTACCTTAAAGGGTTCTAGGAAAAGTTTTTGCAGTGTAGCTTTCTGTTGAATTTTAAGCCTGTTTTCCAGTCTATAGTTTCATTCTCAATGCAAATCCATCACTGCAAGAAGACTCCTGTGCATCTTTTTGCCAGGCTGTCTTCTATCTCTGGTCTTCTTCCCATTTAGTAGTCTCAGGAATAGAGACCCTGTAGTTACAGACCCAGAGGCGCAGGGTGTAGTAGAACATGTCCCAAAGGACATGCAGAATTTCTGAAATTCATTTCCATAGCCTCACATTCCCCATGCACCACCCTCCATTTGTCTGTCAATTTTACCTGCCAGAAACTGACAGTGAGCTTTCTCCCAGGTAGCTGCAAAGAGACCGTTCAGTAATTCCTTTAATTCTGTACATACCCATTTGATGGAGGTGTATTTCTAATAAATTTTGAGTTTATGTTCAATATATATTTATTAAACTGTGAAGACATTCCTGTTATTCATCAAATTTTAATAAATATTACGTGTGTAAATATGAGTGGCTGATATACATGGAGAGAGTGATAGGTTTGGAGATTGTTTTCAAGTAGGGAGGGAGTCAGTAACAGACAGGAGCAAGCAAGAACGAGAGTTTCCACAGGATATAATGTGGTTTGGGGGAGAAGTGGAGTGGAAGCACAATTTTGAAGAACTGAGGAATTCTGCAAAAGGGCTTCGAGATTCTGGTATCAGTGTGGGTGATCTCCCAAAGCCTCTACTCCCTATCATTAGGGGGACTTCTTTTCTTTGGCTGTAGCCTTGTTGCTTCCTAAATTTCCTTCTTGAACATCCCTCACAGCTCCTGACCCCATCAGCACTTCCTGCAAAAATGTACTGTTGGGCAGGGCCTCTCAGTTTGTGAGAAGTGGTTTCCGCTCAGAAAGGAAGCTTTGAGCAAAGTGAACTATTAATAGTGGACATTCCTGGCTGTGCTACTCGGTGGCCTGCACCCCTGGAAGAGCCCCTCAGCTAGCGTGGTCAACTAGGGTGGGGCCTCATCCCAACGCTCCCAACAGTGACAGGCATCCCCAAAACCACCGAGAGCCTGTGATCCCAGCCATTCTGAGACCCAAAGTGGCTGCCGGTAGGGGTCGCTGCACCATCAAGAGAGTGCTTGGCCTCCTAAATTGCATTTATCCTCCTCTGCCTCTGGCAGTAAGCTTGGCCCCTGGCCCCTTTCAGCTTTCTGCTCAGCAGAGACGAGGACCTTAATGTGACAGGAGGGACAGAAATTAACCTGTTAGACCCTTTCCTACAGCCAAATAATGCTCACTCCATTGATAAAACTTCCAGGACAAATCATTAATGTGTTGGAGACCAAATCCTGGGTATTTCAAGCAAGGCCTGGAAGCCAGTGGAAGGAGGTGATGTATATGAATGGCCTGGTTTAGATGGGAACCTCAAAATAGGCTTTCCTGATACATTCATTCTGCAGATAGCTACCAGTTGGCAAAAGAATTTTCATATGCTAGGTGCCAAAATGAGAAAAATAAGGAAGACATGAACTGACAGGGATTTTTAAAAGAAAGTTAAATCTTTTATGTATTTATTTATCAAGACAGGATCTCACTATGTAGTTTAGGCTGGTCTTGGACTCAGTGTGTAGCCGAGGCTGGCCTTGAACTCACAGAGAACCTCCAGCCTCAGTCTCCCAAGTGCTGGGATTACCACACCTAGCCCAAATCTTCCATTTAAAGGACCACATTGTTATGTTATTGAAGGAATGGATGCTATTTTTTTTTATTAAAATGGAGACATGGTGATAATTTTATTTTCCAACACTTTATTATTTGAAGTCCCTTAAAAAGGACAGTCTTCTATCATTTGCTAAAATGTGGGAACATGTTATTTGTACATAAAATCCAGAACTGGAGGGCCCAGGTCTTTTAGAAGACAGTGCGGGGGTCTCAGGAGAGGAAGTAGGAAAAGAATATTCAGGAAGAGCAAAGCCTGAGGGCAGGTGCCCATGCCTTCTGTTTTCCTGCCAGAGCTTGTGCTTAGGGACTAGTCTGAAAGACTACAGAGATCAGTGAACTTCATTTGACTTCCTTTCCAAGCAAAGCAAAGAAGCATAGTATATCCTCCCATTGTCTTCGTTTAAAAAGTGAGTCCATTAACAGTGGAATCACCTGCTTGTCTAAGGCTTCATTAACAAGGAGTCAGAAGGAGTGAGCTGTAATAATTTCTCATCATTTGCTTGCTTGTGAGGCCTGGCATAGTTGTTTGCATATATTAGCAATGTGTTCATCTTTTAAAAGCTATTTTCATTTATCAGCACTAACTGAAATAGTCAAGACTCCAGTGAAGGAGAAGCCCCAAATCATGAGGAATGTCCCATCCATCTTTCTAATACAGAAAAATTTGTTTGGAAAAAAAGTCTTAAGTAACTAATAAGAACACCATCTTATTCTCTGCAGATATGATGTTTTGGGGTGAAACCTATATATGTTATTATTCTTGCTTTATAAGTCATATTGTATTCTTTTCCTATGGTGGCATTGTTCCTGCTAATGCTCTGGATGGCCCCATGGTGAGTGGCAGTTGGCAGTCTGTCTCTTTGTGTTTGGGCCAATGTGTTCCAGCCTGCTGCTCTGCAGATGTTCACTGTAGTCAGAAGGTAGGATTTACTGCAGGGGGTTGGACCCGAAGTATTCACAGAGAAGCCATGTTATATCACTAGTGATTCAAGGCAAAAAATAATTGTTTTTTTTTCCCTATCATTTGAAGATAGAAATGCCTCTATTCAGATCTATGGCATTTGTTATGGCTGTCTTCCCAGGCCTTTCTTACAGAATTGTTTTTCCTTTATATAATCACTATAGATCCTAGTCACCTGTTGATAATGACCTCTTTC